TAATATCACATGACCTCGGTGGAAATTCATGTTCAGCATTGAGACTTATTAGCCGATTTTGGAAAACTTCCCTCAACATATTCATCGTCTCGCCTGCCGTATGTGCCCTTGCGCCATCTTGTTGAAAGTAAAAGTTTGTAATTTCGTTTTCTTCCAGCTGGTTAACAAAAGGAGCGATAATTTCTTCTCTATACCTTTGCGCAGTAAGAGTACCATTAAAAAAAATAGGTCCATAAATCCTTCGATTGAGAGCACACCAAACACCAATTTTTTGAGCGTGTAGAGGGCCCTCGACAAAAAAGTTATCTGGTTTTTCAGAAGACCACATTCTCATATTCTGTGAGTTTACGTAACCACTTGAATGAAACTTCATCAGAAAAAAAGGTGATATTATGAAGTTCACCGTAGTTGTTTAAAAACCATTCACAAAATACAGCCCGTCGCGGAAAATCAACTTCATGAAGTTCTTGCTGACAAGTTAAACGATAGGAGAACAAACGCAAATCTTTTTTAACACTGTGTGGCAGGTACCGACTGATACTCCCACCATTTGTGATAAAACACGTACAGAAGTTCTTGGCGCATTTTCCATTATTTGTTGGACATTTTCTTTTAATTCTTCAGTCCGCTTTTTAGGTCGGCCGCTTCCTTCTTTTCTTGTTACACTGCCCGTTTCACGAAAAACATTAACACAACGCTGAACTGCACTTTGAAAAATTTTGTACTCGACAACGCCGGGAAATTGATTTTGAAATTCTATGAAACATTCCTCAATAGAATACTTCCATATTCCATCAATCTTGCGTCCATTTCTAAAGTAGGACTCTATGATAAACACTTTTTGTTCTTGAGAAAACACCATTTGAAACGTTTTTTAAAACGAAAATATTCAAATTGATAGCGGCGATATAGCGCTTTGACAGATGACGTTTAAGTTCATTTGCTATACGCTACGCCCTACGTCCAAATTTTCAGAACCAACTTGACCACGTATTTATTTGAACGCTCGTTATTGACATACATGTTTCCAAAATTTTTAACTTTAACCTCCCGCATTTTGGATGAGAAGCGCACGAATGAAAGTCTGCAGATAGAACTAGTGTATTTCAAATACACCACTACAACTAACAACAGAACCTGCTAAAAAATGATGGAAAAATAAATGCGTTTGTAAATGTTTCCGAGTGACAACTAAATTTCCCTGAATTATATATCTCCATAAAAGCTGTTGCTGGTACTAATCAACAAATCCGTAAAACACTAATTATTTTTCGTGCCGGTCACAATACGAAGCTTCGGTAAAAATTTATATACGTCAAATTTCTATCAAAAGATTAATAAAATATTTACAATGCCGGAATTATTACAAGTGATTATCTCGTTGGTTGATTAGAATAAAATTGCAATAGCCTGCATTTTTCTCTCAATAGTGCAAAAAATAACTATACCAAAAGTGATACTGGGTAATGTTCCACTACTAGCTGTTTAAATGACTTTATGGTTCCGTCTTGTAATTATACATCTTCTAGGAAACGTCCCAGGTCCATTAGTGAGTCCTTCCATACCAAAGGTCTACCCTTCATTCAAGTTAAGAATTACTTAACCTTATAGCAGCGTAATATTACCTTAAAATTACCCGAGAAGTTTGTTAGTTCTTACTTCCGTCTAATAATAGAAGGGTATAATTGGGATGACTACATTTACGAACAAAAAAGTATTCTGTTATCTTTCCAAATTTTCCTGTTTCCTGTTGCAAACATCCTTAGAATTAGATAACCTGAATTTATATTAAAAAATTAGTTAATAGCTGGATATCTAACATATTCCTACGTCAAGAATAACATTCTTTAAAGTGCTTATTCTTTCCATGATGTATGGCCATAAAAACTATGTAATGGGCAATAAACTATCGACGAAAATAAAACTTTGTTTTCCCGCAGCATTTACTTTTATCGTGTACGGTAAAAGTTACCACATATATCAAGTAACCTGGGTGTGGGACTATCGTAATACAATTTTTTTCTTATTGCTCATCGTTCTGCCATTTAGTAAATTGCCTTACTTCGTTCGATGTTGAAAAATTATTGACAGGAGAGTGGAACATCCAATATTTGAATTGGGTTCAAATTACTAAAAATGACAACCTATAAAAAATATTTGTACTTAGTAAGAGTAACAAAAATGATGTTAAAGTGTATCAAACCCATGCATATAGTTTCATCCGATGCATAAATAACGTGCATAAATTGATACACATTTTTTTTGTGCAAAAATCTACAATTATGTAAAATTAACTGACTAATTAACATAATTTATCGATGTAGGTTTAATTAAGAATAATCAGCATTTAACGTGTGAAGAAAAACGCATCATTCTTGTAGTAAATTTTCAAATACATTATAAATGTACACATTAGAAGTTACAGTGAAATAAAATTAGGCATGTAATTTATATTTTTTATACTCATAAAGTCATAAATTATTTAAACTGCATGAAACTATGCAATCCAATTGGTCGAGACAAAAACGTTCGTTATAAATTCTGACTTATGCAGTACGTTACACTTATGCAGTAACTTTCATCTTGTTTGTATAGGGTGATCAGAAAATCGGTAAATATAAAAATCGTTTCATCTCTACTTCACCCTTTGATTTTGTTATCTTATAACAATGAGGGTATATATTTTAAAATTGTCTAAGGAAAAACAAGTATACTTTAAAAATTTCCTCCCTAATTTTTTTGTCTATGGAACTGCCTATATAATGTGTAATTCTCCATTTATGCACTTTTTTGTAGATACAGGGTGCGGCATTGGTGCGTCGAAGTACGATATCTCGTATATTATAGAAGATATCAAAAAAAGTTTTTTACAAAAATTGTAGCCATCTTAAAACTGCACATTTTAAAATTATTTTCGCATATACAGGGTGTTATGTATTACCATAGTGAACCAAACATACTATTTTTTAAATGGGACACCCTGTATATTATTTCAAATTTAAATTAAGCTCATCTATCCCATGCTTGCAATATAGGGTTTAATTATGTTATACAGGATATTTCAAAAGTTATGGTCAACTGTATACGATAATCATTCCCATTTCAGCGTCCTGTATACCTTAAACAGAACAACTTAACAAAAATTTTTTGCCGGCATAACTTTTTGATATAGGTACAGATTTACGAGAAAGTGCTATTTCTTTATTATTGCAGCAGTTGAACACAGGGCGAGGCAAAACTCGAGCACATAATTTTTTTAATTTTTTTTTAAATTAATCACCCTGTATTTTAATTTAAAAACTGAATATACACTTTACGTTCTTTCATTTTTATAAAGCATACCCTATAGCTAAAACAGTGTGACAAATTGTTATAAAACATTACAAAATATCCGTTTTTAAGACAATTTCTTATAATTTTAACCAACTTGTTATAATATGTTTTTTTTAAAACTATGTTTTTGTTATTAAGTGGTAAAATCTCAGAAATTAATGATTTAAGCTAACTGTACCAATATCAAAAAGTTATGCCTACAAAAAATTGTTAAGTTGTTCTGTTTAGGGTATACAGGACGCTAAAATGAGAATGATTGACCATAACTTTTGAAATGCCCTATATGACATAATTAAACCGTATATTGGAAGCATGGGAGAGATGAGGTTAATCTAAATTTGAAATAATATATAGGGTGTCCCATTTAAAAAATAGTATGTTTGGTTCACCCTGGTAATATGTAACACTCTGTATATACGAAAATAATTTTAAAATGTGCAGCTTAAGTTGGCTACAATTTTTGTAAATAACTTTTTTTATATCTTCTATAATGCCGCACTCTGTATATTTAAATTTTTAATAAAAGGTTTATTATTTCTGTATGAGTTTAATGTTTTTTTTTTTTAATTTTGAGCGTAATAGGCCTTCGTCTTTGCTCTAAGTTGTACGGGGTGTTTCATAAATAATGTGCAAATATTTTAAGGAGAAAGTAATTTTAGGGGGGTACTTCCAATACATTTTTTTTATTTGAGCCCCTCCTGAGAAAATATTTGTCTCAAAATGGCCACAAAACCGCCTAGCCGGGTGTCTTGGCCGGTGGTTTTCGATCGGCCGCTATTTTCACGGACGCAGGCTGGAACTTGGATGGGTGACCTAAGACAGGCTCGGGGACGTGGCTGTGGCAGCCTACCAGAGACCTGGGTCGCTCGACATTTCTGCCTGCGTGTGGTCCCCGATAAAATGGTAATGAGAATAGAGCAATAAATCTCTGTAACTCAAGACCATTGCTATCATACATAAAAATTGTACGAGACTTTGCCACCAAGCCCCGTGTAGTAATAGGATAGTTTGAAGAAAAGTACTCGAGTAATGAAGGGGCCTAATAACGCCTAAGTGGCGCCGACATACATACATACATACATATATACATGGCCCAAAAAATTGGCTTTTATTTATTTTATTTTTTTCACGAAAACGGTTAAACTTAGAAATTTAAAATTTGGTACACGTTAACAACTAGTTGAATGGTATTTTTTGGTAGTCTTTTTTTCTGAAATAAACTAGCACCCCTTGGTTTTATTTCTCTCACAACTTTTTTCTACATTAGCCAGTTCAAACAAGAAAAATAGCTTTTCATACTACATTTCATTTAGAAACTTTTTTACTTTTCCCATTTTTTCGTATACTTAATGGTGGTCATTTTTGACATGTTTTTTGCAAAAATTCTTTTTATCAACAGGAAAAGCTAAGCAAATACGAAGTAAAAATTTAATAAAAAAATAATAAAAGCTCATTTTTCGGCCATTTTGAGATTTGAATATTTTCTCAATATTGGAAGTACCCCCTAAAATTACTTTCTAAACGCCTTCTTAAAATATTTGCACCATCATTATGAAACATCCTGTATATGATGTTAGTTCAACTAAGTAACTAACAAGCACCTTAAGAACGGCGCAGTAGATGCATCTGGTGTCCCTAAGACGCTTATCTCTTCTCGTCTTTTCCAGTGTTATCGCTGGGCACCCGAGATCAACTGGAAATCGCCCCAGTCTTAGGCATCCTAGTGGGCATAGTGACGGCCCTCCTGCTCGTGTTCGTTATAATACTGGGAGCCCTCAAGATCAGGGCGGCCCGCAGGGACGGCTCCCACGCCCTAAGACCGGGATTCCTGCCCGTCAAGGAGAAAGCGACGCTGCCGCTGCGCTCCGAATCCGAAGACCTCTTCGAGAAGGACGACAAGAACCCGGACGTCATCCCCTCGAATAAGGGTGAGTCGGTAATTAAAATAAGTATAGCACGCTGTCCCGCTACTAATGAGGGGAGGTTTACGGTGTTTCTGTGTAGAGCTGTGCTCCCTTGCGTTTTTATTTGTCTGGGCCTCGTGTAACTTTGTAAGATGTATTTAAACATTTAAAAAAAATGTAGACGATTATTTTTTGACGTTTCTTAAAACCAATGAAATGCTTCTTTATTTGTCACAAGGGTAAGTTTCAACCAATTATGTCATTATTATAGTGGGTATAAATCTCTTGTGATTATTCTCGGGAATAATGACTGTGGCTTTTATTTGCGTAGCAAGTGTCAGATAGTTGTCAAAATAATTACCTAATTGTGTCAACGCGATATATAAAATGGGTGAAAATCATCGGTTTAGTACCTTTTCTGATGCAGAAATAACAACAAAGATTGTAGAAACTACTTCGAAAAATACTCTAATAAGTAATCAGTCTATATGGAGACAATTTAAGACCTTCACCAAAGAAAGAAATTATATTCTGGATCAATCTACTACAACAGCTACTCTGGCATTGATTTTGAAAGATTGGGCTTATAACATGAAAGAAAAGACGGAAATGATTATAAAGAAGCAGTAATAAAGACAATGTGGAATAAAACGGCAAAATTAGTTCAAGAACTTTACTTTAATAAGTATAACAGGTCATTTGATCCTTTCCATGATATAAAATTCAAAAATGCTCGAAATGAAAGAGATGCAAAAACAAAAATTTTACAAAAACATCCTGAAAAGCACAAACAAAGTTCTGTGGCACTTTCTAATACAGAATTGTTGCAAATTTTTAACTATTGGGACGAAGATACACCTTGTGGGTTGCAAAGAAAGTTTTTTCACGTTGCATCGTATGAACTAGCTTGGAGGGGAGGAGAAGCTACGAAATGTTTAGTTCATTATTTTAAAAAAGAAACCGACATAATAAGATTAAATACTGGCCGCATTGAATACAATCCCATCTTTACAAAAACTGCACAGGGTGGAGCACAAAGGTGCGCTAATAGTAAATGGTTGAATCCAAACATAAATAACCCAGATATTTGCCCTGTTCGACTTTTTGAAAACTAATGGGTAAACGTGAAGAAAATATTAAAACCGAACGCTTGTTTCTTACTCCAAATCCGGCTTGGCAAACTCATGGTTCTTGGTAAAAAAACGTTCCTGTGGGAATAAATTCCATTTCAAAATGGATGAAAGAATCCGCAGAAAAAGTAGGTCTAGACACAGTTACTAAAAAAATAACTAACCATTCTGCCAGATCAAGTGCAGTAAGTAACCTTTCAAAAGCTGGTGTAGGAGAACAAGAACTAATCAAGGTCACTAGTCATAATTCTGCAAGTTCGATTAAACCATACTTACAATTGAACCAAGAACATCATTCAAATATAATAAATAATCTTAGAGAAAATACGCAGGAGAAAACACTTAATATAACAAGCAATTCCAAATCCTCAATAAATAATGACTCTCGAAATATTGTTAGTAATTGTGTTTTTCATTGTACTAATTTAAATTGTTAATTCTTTTAATATATTCACAATGTGTCAACGATATTTTCGTATATTGTAATAATTAATTAAATTAAATTTTTCAATAGTTTTATGATGGTTTTATTGATCTTTTTTATTGTAAAAATTTGTGAATCAAAAAATAATCTAGTCTAATATAACTCGCGAGATCCATAAATTAGAAAATAGTTTGACAGATTTTGTTCAAACTTGTCATTTGGAAATAGCCACTCGAGCCCTGCGGGCTCTCGTGACTATTGCCTGGCAACAAGTTTTCAAAAAATCTGTCAAATTATTTTCAATTTATTCTCACTCTGTTGTTATATTATTACTGAAAAGTACGCCAGGCAATAAAATTACCGCAACAAAGTTGTTCAACGAAATTTTGCCATTTTTCGAATAATAATTCTGAAAGTCTGAATTAATACAAAATACGCCTAAAACTAAGTTTTTGAAATTAAATAAGAAAAACACTCCCTGAAAATAAATTGGCTGTTTCTGAAATGTATTAGTACAGTCATTGAAGCTTTTCACCTCCGAATTCTTTGAAACTGAACCGATCGACTTGAAATTTAGCAGATAGTTAGAGAAGAAGTCAATGAACATTAGTTACATAGCGCCGATTGACGCTTCCACCCTGTTGGGGGTTGACATCCCTTCTCGGTAGTGAATTTTTTTTCAAAAATGGAAATCGATAGAGAATCAAATTTTGAGCAAAATATATTCAAAGAATTTTTTCGAGAAATCAATAGTTTTTCAGTTATTCGCGATTGAAAACTTTTTTTAAGTATTTTTCGCGAATAACTCAAAAACTACACATTTTACTAAAAAAAGTGTAATGAACAAAAATGTAGCTTATATATAAACAAAGAAAATTGTTTTTTAAAATGTGTTGTACGTCCCATACAAAGCGAAATATGGTTAGTGGAAGGGGACTTGTGTTTTGGGGGGATACTCGAATCGATGTATTCAACGTCAAATAACGGAAAAATTATTAATTTTACGTGTATAACGCTCCGGGATTTTTTTGTAGTACTCGAAAAGACCTTTAAAATGAGCACTTATAAAAGTTAATTAGAGCAAAATTGAAGGAGTTATCGTCAAAGACAAATGGGTTGCTTATATTTTTTAAGGAAAAATGAGCAGTAAACGCTATACCATTTCCATCAGTATTAAAATTAATCCTAGACGCAGTTTTGTTTTAATGTCTTTCATACGATCCTGAAGTTAGACCGGTTTAGAATGCGTATGATTTTAATAATGTACGGTAAAAGTTGAATACGTATTTTTCATTATTCAAAAAAAATTGCTTATTTATATAATAACTGAAACTATGAAAGATACGCAAAAAATGTTAGACAACAAAAATGTAGCTTTTTTTCAACAAATATTTTGCTTTTTTTATTCCTATAGCATAAAAAATAAAGGAAATATCGCCGCATAAAGTATCAATTTTAGTGAAAAAACGACCTGTCTCGAGCCTTTCGATCCTTCCCCTTTAAAAAACGAAGGACTTAAAAGGTTTTATATGGAAATGATCTTACAGCTCTTGAAATTATCTTTAAAATGCTTTTTTGTAGAATACTATAGCTTCAAAATTAACCGAGTTATGGTAAAAAACCAATGACATTTTTTCGAAGCAAAATAGGCTTTCTCATTTTTAGAGCAAAATGTTAGGATTCAAGTGCGCGTAGCAATTTTTTGATTATATTTAAAAAGCGATTATAATAAAAATATTTTACGTAAATATTAGTAAAGGGGTAGTTTATAAGAGTAGAAAATGGCAAAAGTAAAATATTCTTTCATAAACAATATAAAGGAATTTTTATTTTAAATTATTNTGATTATATTTAAAAATCGATTATTAAAAAAATATTTTACATTAATATTGGTAAAAGGGTAGTTTATAACAGTTGAAAATGGCAAACGTAAAATACTCTTTCATAAACAATATAAGGGAATTTTTATTTTAAATTATTGCACAATTATAGCATTCCAAAATTTAAACCGTAATTTTTTATCATTTTTTAGCACAGGGTGATTTATAAGGGTTGAAAAGCGTTATGAGATACAAATTCTTTCATAAGCAATGAGGGAATTATTTTAAATAATTGCACCGTTAAAGCATTCCAAGTTTTTAAAAAGTAATTTTTATCATTTTTGTCAATACAGTGGTGGTTTTTAGGGGTTGAAAGGGAGAAATTCTTTTATTAGCTATAAGGTAACTTTTATTTTAAATAATTGCACAATTTCATCATTCCAAATCTTTAAAAAGTAAGTTTTTATCATTATTTTTTGCATAGGGTAGTTTTTTAAGGGTTAAATAAAGGCTCAAAAAGATCAACTATATCATGAAACGTGTTCGAGAACGTGGAGCATTATTTAATATTTGTGCTTGAACAAGATTTTTATCAATAAAATGCTTAAAACTTAATTTTTTCAATTTTTTTCACTTAAGGGTAGTCTTTACCCCAAAAAAAAAAACAAAAAACAACCAATCGGGCTTATGTCACTTTTGAACTTGAGCCTAAGATGAGCCTTATTCTAAATTTTCACGCAAATCCATGCAGTTTCAAAGAATTCGGAAGTTACAGCTGATTTTCAGCTTCAATAACTGTACTTACATGTGGAAAAACAGTTTACCAGTTGATTATTTTTGGTCGCAATCAGTTACATGAGAGCCACTTCTTTTTGCAACGTGTACACGCCCGTTTGTGCAAGTATTTCTCGTTGACTAAAACTCTGTAGTTCTAGCGGAAGAACTGATAAATTTCTGATATGCTTTCGATAACCGATACCTCCCCTTAAATTAAATCGAAGCTGAAAAGGGGCTCTTCAGAGAGATTGCACTCTTGCTTTGCTGATGCGTTCCACTGCAGTCCCTGAAAGGACTACGGAGAAAAGCGTTGAATGCTTTTCAAACTGTAATGCATCTTGCTCGTACCCTTAAAGATTCTAGACGAAATAATTTCATGATTTAGTGTAATGGTCAAAAAAGCATACTTCTGAAAAGTCATTTCGACATAGTACAACTTTATTAATTAATTACTACCTAGCAAAATCTCTAGATAGCAAAAGCTCCAACCAGAAGTTTCAAAATTTCATTGTAAAAATTAAAATTATATGGACGTTACTGAGAGAGGGCCAAAATGAGTTATTGTTGTGCTTTTTTTATTTAATTGAATCTAGATATGTTACCTGCATGTAGGTATACAAGAATATTTAAATTCGGAAATACTTACGATCAATAAAAAATTTGTACAGACAAAGCAAAAGCAAAATGGAAACAGTAGTGAAAATTTTAAAAAGTCTGAAACTGTTAAGCGGCATAACCCAAACTCACAAATTAAAGCATTAATGATAAAGGATATGCCCATATTATGAATTAAATTAAAGTAACACGTGTATTTACAAAATAAATTGACAAAAAAATTTAATGCATACGGAAATAAAATACAGATATAATTAA